TTTCTGTTCGGGGTGGTTCTGGATGAAAGAATGGCCCTCTAATCCGAGTTTTCGTACACCCATACATTCCATTCCGCCGGGCGTCATAACGAATATCCTCCTCGGCCTCATCCCACTCGCAGGGACCCATGATAGGAATATCATATCACTTGTCTTGCTTCTAGGTAGGCTGAGATACGGTTCGTCCCATGATGAGTCTCTTTCAATGTCGAATGAAGGGCCTGGTGCTTCGACTCCGAGGAGAGTTGCCCAGTCGTCTGGAAGTTGGTTGGTTCTCACATACTTCCAGATTTTGTTGACCAGCACACTGAACTTATTCTGCAATGTCTCCTTTACTGGCCCGTCGGCTTCCTCAATATCATTCTTTAATTGAAGTATGTCTCGGGAGTAGGTTTTCAAGAGCGTATATTTAATCGTGAATCCTCGGCCATGCTTTTTGCCGAGCTCTTGAGTGATCCTCTCATTAAATTTGTCAAGAGGCTCGTAAGGCTCAATCATGATTTGTTGGGCAGATTTGTTTGGATCGTCCGGCTTGGACAAGTACTCTTTCAAGATTGGGCCTGCTTCACTGTAAAGCCCGGGAAGCTTGGCAAGGAGTCCTTCTTCGGGGCCTGAATCATCGTCTGACATCCTATCATCATCGTCGCTCTCCTCTCCAACACTGTCTTGGTCGATATGCATTCCTTCACCTCCGTTATTTAGCTCGTATTGAGTCTGTCTCATACGCTCTTTGTCGTACGCGATTTTTGTCTCCGGGTTTAGCAGTGTCTGGCCGGCGTTCTCAACGACTACGAATCATTAGAAGTTGCATAGGAGGAAAGAGAAGGTATAAATACATTGTTTCCAGGTTCCTTTCTGATCGGAGTCACATTCGTTCAAAATACGAATGTATCCTTCCCCTTTTTGTTTCAAAGAAGCAATGTCCTCGTCACTCAGTGGCTGTCCAAATGAACTTGGCGTCATCCCGAAAAGTCGGTAGAAATCCGAGTTAGAAGAACCATGTTCTGAGCGGACTAGATCTAAGATCTGCTCAGCCGCATCCTTAGCGGATGTAGAGCTTGGCCCATCCGCCTCATCTGCCTTTCGTTTCAAACTCATATTCACTGATGTTTGTTATTGAATGAAAGGATCACAATCGAGGAATAGTTGAGACCCGGCGGATATTTATAGATGCCTTATTGCATGGAGTAAGATGAAGAGTTCTTTGAATTGAACTAGAAATGGCTCAATTAGAACTTCTGGCAGCTAGAGCCAGAAGTCGACTTTCGTCGATTTGGCCTCGGGCGTATTGGAGCTGTCTGCTTGTGGATCTAGTCCATTCTTCATTGCCTAAGAATCAATTCAGGATGTTGAGTCTCAGGGCGTAGAATGGAGCCTGAGGGGGCTGAGCCCACGCGCGTTTATATACCAGAGGTTCAATGCTCTAGGAGGCGAATCACGTATAAGAGTGCTCCCATAATCCGTATGCAATTCTGATCAACTTTGTGAATCGAAGCACCGAGAACGTAGAATTTCGCCCGTTCAGACCGCTTGACTTGCGACGCATCAATGAATGGAACTTCTGTGACTCAAACCTTACCTATTCAAAGCAAGCCACCCTGTTTCTCTATATCCAGAAACTGGAGTCTTTCACACAATTATACATTGGTATCAGAAGTCACACTACTCCAACAATCTTTGCTTTCGGAAATCTCACGAGGATATGGTCTTCCATCAAGAGTTACAGGCATGACGACAGCTGATCCTAGTATTCCGATAATCTCGAGCACTCTTCAAAACAACAGTTGGCCTAAATACGGACAATCCGACAACGCAACACAGACATACAATTATCCTGGCCCCAAGGCATCCTCGTCGTCGGGATTGGAATCATCGTCAGGTCATATATCTGCAAGACGACTCTTAGTCCTTCTTTCTATATGCAGCCTCGGCACGATGTTCATATAGAAGCTGAATTTCTTCGTATACAAGCCATGAGAACAGCTTCAAGATCTTCGAGTATATACTCGGACGTAGACGCTTTCCATCTTGAAACAGTTCTCCATAACCTGAAGAGTGACCATCAACCAGACGAGGCTCTCACTCTCGAAAGGCTTCTTGAGGAGAACGAAAGACTTGAGCGGCAAGTACAACAATTGTGTAAGGTCTGGGCCATCATTTATGAAGTTTTAATGGAAATCAATGACAGCATTATGTATCTGAAAAGAGTTCTTGAAGAGGGCATGTTACGCATGGACAAGGAGCGAAGCAAGTGGTTGGCAAACTGCACCGCAATATGAACAAGGGATGGCGTAATTATTGTCCACTATCAGATTGAGCATAAAAACTATTTCTTTCCTTGGCTAGGTATCCACTTTATAGACAACTGGAACAGTTGAAAGTCTTTTCACTACATTACTGCGTATTTATAACGTCTCCTCTACAGCATTAAGATCTGCTAAGAGAGATGACAAACAGACCACCTACTCTGAGCACTGGTCCTGAATAACTATTTGTTCGAAACCTTCCTTCCTCCTGAGTTGACCTCTGTCATCTTGAACCTAAGCGTATTGTAGCGTTGATGTTTTCCAAATCTCGTATGTATGATGGTCATTAAGCAGTTGCGTGAAGAGTTGTTGACGGTGGGCAATCTTGAAAGTCTTCCGCTTTAGAATTCAGTGAATGGCCACTATGTACTGTATTAATTAAAGAATTGAGATCAATTAGTGGTCTTCTTCGGTATTGTGAGACGTAGAGAAGATACGAGTAGGCCAGAGCCATGAAAAGAGCGTGTGGACTCAAAAAGGAGAACAGAATTCGGAAACGAGAGCCAATTTCGAGTGTGTATCATCATATAATTCAGTAATTCCGGAACTGGCCAATTTTAATTTGAGCTGAAACTGGAACTTCAATAACGTAAACACTAAATAGCTTTCAAACCCCCATATCTCACACATTAGTGTCTCAAGCATGTTGTGTTGAGACCCAGTCCATGATTGCTCACACAAGTCTGGTGCACCCATGAAGTTATCTAACATATTTGCACTTGCGTTTGGCCAGATCCTGGGGG